CCTGCCTAGGTTTCCCAAAGTGCTGGGATTACAGGTGTGAGCTACCATGCCTGGCCTATTTTTTGTATTTTTAGTAGAGGTTTCACCATGTTGGCCAGGGTAGTCTCAGACTCCTGGCCTCAGGTGATCCATCCGTCTTGGCCTCCCAAAGTGCTGGCATTACAGGCGTGAGCCACCACGCCCCGCCTGGTCTCCTGATTTCAAAGCCTGTATGTCCTTCCTCGATGCCGTGCTGGATTTTCAGAAACCCAGGTGCCAGGCCAGGGCTTGCAGAGGGGCTAAAATGAAGCCAGGCCAGAAGACAGAGCAGCCAGGACTCAAACTGGACAGAGCAGCCAGGACTTGGGCAGCAGCACTATTGGGATTTGGGGGCTCTCCAGCCCGTTTGGAAGAGCCTAGGCTCTCTCTGCCCAGTTGCATAGGTTCTCATACTCATGATGGGGGGGTGCGATGGGGAAGCTGGGCATGGGAGAGGATGACTCACGCCCTGAAAGTCCATGAGAGGCCTCTTCTCCTCACATCTGCAGAAACCAGCCTGGACACCAAGTCTGTGTCAGAAGGCCACCTCAAGAGGAACATCGTGGTGAAGACCGTGGAGATGCGGGATGGAGAGGTACGGAGGGATTCAGGCCCAGTCAGGCTCTGGCTGGCCCCAGGGATTTTCAAGGCCAGGCCGTGGAGGAAAGCCTGGGACTGGCACATAGAAGGTCCCCAGTAACTCCCAGGAGCCCCCCAAGGAATTCTGGAGGAGAGCAAGGAACCTGAATGTAATTCCGTTTCCTCAGTCCCTCCATAGGCTGTTCTAAGGGCAGCCTTGGTACCAAAGCCACTAGATTGGGTCCCAACACACGCTGTCTCTTTCTCACCCTCAAACCCGGGGGCCTGGCTTGCCAGGGATAAAAAGAGAATTAAGGTTAGCAGCTTTCACTTCCAACTCTAGCGGAGACAGTTGGAGATGGGGACGGCTTTCCATTTCCAGCTTAGTAAAAGGAAACTACCAGGGGAATGGGAAGAGGGGATTTGGCGTATCCCCCAGGCCACTTCAACCACAGTGGGAGCTCATCTTACTGCAGCAGCTTACTACGTGCCAGGCACGATGCTAAATGCTTTCCCAGTGTTATCTCACCACCCACTTTGACCACCACGCAAGGCAGCTGTGGTTACTGTCAAGAAAAGAAAGACCTGGGAAGCGGGGGACTTGCCCAAGGTTACACAGCTTCATGGTGGTGGACCTGGGGTCTGCGTGAACTCCTAACTGTTGCACTGTGCATGTTCCCTGTCCCCTGCAGGTCATTAAGGAGTCCAAGCAGGAGCACAAGGATGTGATGTGAGGCAGGACCCACCTGGTGGCCTCTGCCCTATCTCATGAGGAGCCCGAGCAGAAGCAGGATAGTTGCTCCGCCTCTGCTGGTGCATTTCCCCACACCTGAGCTCCCCGCCACCCCAGCTGCTCCCCTCCCTCCTCTATCCCTAGGCCAGCTTGCTGCCCTAGGCTCCGTCAGTATTAGGCCTGCCAGACGGCACCCACCCAGCACCCAGAAACTCCAACTAACAAGAAACTCACCCCCAAGGGGCAGTCTGGAGGGGCATAGCCAGCAGCTTGGGTTAGAATGAGGAGGAAGGAGAGAAGGGGAGGAGGGTGGGGGGGGACCTACTACATCGCCCTCCACATCCCTGATACCTGTTGTTATGGAAACTGTTGCCAGAGCTGGAGGTTCTCTCAGGGTATCTGGGAACTGTGCCTTTGAGTTTCCTCAGGCTGCTGGAGGAAAACTGAGACTCAGACAGGAAAGGGAAGGCCCCACAGACAAGGTATCTTTGGCCAGAGGCTTGTTTTGTTTTTTGGTTTTTATGAGGCGAGGTCTCCTATGCTGCCCAGGCTGACCTTGAACTCCTGGGCTCAAGCAGTCTTCCCACCTCAGCCTCCTGTGTAGCTGGGATTACAGGCTCGAGCCACCATGCCCAGCTCAGAGGGTTGCTCTTCTAGACTGACCCTGATCAGTCTAAGATGGGTGGGGATGTCCTGCCACATGGGGCAGTCACCTGCCCAGATCCCAGAGGGACCTCCTGAGTGATGACTCAAGTGTCTCAGTCCACCTGAGCTGCCATCCAGGGACCCTGTCTGTGGGCGTGCTGTGGGCAGGTGGGAGCTTGATTCTCAGCACTTGGGGGATCTGTCGTGTACGTGGAGAGGGATGGGGTGCTGGGAGGGATACAGGGGGGCTGCCTGGTCCCCAGTGGTGGGTACAGAGAGGTCAAGCCCAGGAGGACTGCCCCGTGCAGACTGGAAGGGATGCTGGTAGAGATGGTGGAGGAGGCAATTGGGATGGCGCTAGGCATCCAAGTAGGGGTTGTGGGTGACCAGTTGCACTTGGCCTCTGGGTTGTGGGAATTAAGGAAGTGACTTATCCTCTTGAAGATGCTGAAAAAGGAGAGAAAGGGGATGTATCCATGGGGGCAGGGCATGACTTTGTTCCAGTTCTAAAGGCCTCTTCCTTGCTGTGTCATCCCAGGCCATCCCAGCCTCTGAGCCCCTGGGACTGCTGCTTCTTGACCCCAGTAAGCCACTGCCACACGTCTGACCCTCTCCACCCCATAGTGAGCGGCTGCTTTTCCCTAAGCCAAGGGCCTCTTGCGGTCCCTTCTTACTCACACACAAAATGTACCCAGTATTTTAGGTAGTGCCATATTTTACAATTTGTAAAACAAGCACGAGCAAAATGAAGACACTGGCTCATATTCCTGCAGCCTGGAGGCCGGGTGCTCAGGGCTGACATGTCCACCCCAGTGCACCCACTCTGCTTTTTAACTGGGCAGACTGGTAAGCAGACTGGTGGGATCTGTGCCCAGAAATGGGACTGGGAGGGCCCACTTCAGGGTTCTCCTCTCCCCTCTAAGGCTGAAGAAGGGTCCTTCCCCCTCCCCAAGACTTGGTGTCCTTTCCCTCCACTCCTTCCTGCCACCTGCTGCTGCTGCTGCTGCTAATCTTCAGGGCACTGCTGCTGCCTTTAGTCGCTGAGGAAAAATAAAGACACATGCTGCGCCCTTCCCCAGAGTGGACTCGGATCTGTTTATGAGAGGGTGGGACTGGGGCCAAGATGTAACCTTTGACAAGACCAACTCACTTCCTATTACTGATCATCTCTGGAGCCCATGCCCTCACCAAATCCCACCCGCAGCCAAAGAGGACATACAGCAGCTCCCTCCACTCTCTTCCTCCTTCCTTTCCCTGCTACCTGCAACTCAACCAGTACAATCCTCAGAGGCAAGAAAGTAAAGCAGCTCAAACACGATTCAACACTGCTCAGTGTTTACCACTGGATAAATCTGAGTTCACGCCTTCCTTCTCTGACCTAAGTGTGAAGTCAGGAAACACGTGTACCCTAACTACTTCCATCCTGACCTCAGTCCCCAATCTCCCACCAGCCTCAAGCCTCTCCACTTCTCAGATCAGGCCCCAGACCTGCCCATGAAAATGGGGAGCAGGCTATAACTAACAGATTTGTCCACATGTTCCTACCACACGTCCCACCCCAAGGTACCCACCCAGAGACATCTGGTGTCATTTAACAAACACATTGAAGGACAACTGGTCTTCAGAGCTGGGGAAAGAGAGAACCTAAGGGGAGAAGTTGGGACAACACTGAAATAAGTAACAGCAGCAACGACAGAGGTGAATGGCGACGAAGACTGCCGTGATGAACAGGTAGCCTATCAGGGTGAGCTCCACAGCCGAGCGAGTCTCGGGATCCGACAATGAGGCTGGGTAGCGCCCACGAGATGTCACACCCAGCCGGAAGCCAGCAACTCGCACACCCTGCCTCCAGCAATAGTAGATGCCCCGGTCATCCAGCTGGGTGAAGCGGATGTGGAGCTGGTTGCCGTGGTCAATGAACACCCTCATGGACCTGTTGACACCCTTCAGGTACTGTGTGCGGTAGAGGTGCTGGCGGTCTTTGTCCCAGGCCACGGCATGCTCTGGCCGGGCCCCGGGACAGGAGATGATGAGTCCATGGCCCAGTCTCTGCTGGTGGAACTGAATGGGCACCTGGGGCACCCAGGGCCGGCTGCCCACTTTGGACACATAGTTAACGATGGCCAGCACACCCTCCCGGATGGTCTTCGTCTTCTCACAGGGTACTATGCAGCTCCGAACCAGCAGCTCAGGGGTGTGGTCCCTGGCCTTGGTCTGCAGCTTCCTTGGCACAGCCCTTGAGCCACAGGACACCACATCGGGCACCGCCTTGAGGTAGCGTGGGGAGAGGTCTGGGCTCTGCAGGTAGCAGAGGCCGATGCGCCACTGCTCCCCACGCACCCCGCAGCGGTCACAGGGGGTCCATTCCCAGAAGGTGGTGAAGACATGGAGGTGCCCATAGTATTCATCTGCAAAGGGCTCCTGGCCCTCGTCCTGGAAAGTGGCCACCATTCCCTCACTGTTCTGGATGTCCACATCGTAGGCGTAAAAGTAGTCCCCCTTGCGGGTGCCGCAGAAGTACAGGCCTGAGTCCTCAGGCTGAGCCCTGAAAACCAACAGGCTGAACATGCGGATGCTGAAGCGGGCCAGCATGTCGCTGCCCACACGTACCTGGGCTGCCTCCGTCAGCACCCGCCCATCGAAGTCCGTCAGCACTTTGGTGTGGCTGCTACCTAGGTGCTTTTGGTAGAACCAGACTACAGCTGGCACCTCTTCGGGTTTGCAGTGACAAGGAAGCTCAAAGCTCATGTCGGCCAGGTAGGCTGCATTTTCAAACATCAGGAAAGCAGGGCAGGGGGTCTTCTGAAAAATGTTTTCCTTCTCTACAATTTCAAAGGCCTGGAGACCCCCCCATGCCCACAGGAGCACAGTGGTGAGGGCCAGGTGCATGCCTGAAGGAGTGAGGGGTCAGAGGGGCAGGGCAAAACCAAGGCATTAAAGGCTCATAGGGCTCCCAGAAAGCACTGATGAGCTGAGGCCTCTGGATGAGGAAAGGATTATGCAGCCAGGAAAAGCAGCAACAACCTGCAGAGGAAGTTGCCAAATGCAAGGCGATTTATGCCCAGTGGATGTACAAGATGCCCTTCTAACATTCCAGACCCGATCTTGGGGGAAAGCCATTCTAGAACCTGGCCTTCACTCCCCTTTCTAGAACATTGGCACTCACCCAAGAATGGGTCAAAGGAAACCGGAATGAGAAGGGGCCAAGGTGCTCAGGCAGGGAAATCTCTGCCTCAGTGCTCCAGGCCCTGCCCTGCCAGCCTGGTGGAAAAGTCTTCCCTTTCACCAATCCGGGAAATGGAGGAAACCCGCTCTCCTGCATATCTGGCCATTCAGGAGGCTGGCTGGACCTGAGCTGATGGCTTGGGACTTTCCCAGGCCCAACCTGTACAAGAACTGAGTCTCTAGGGGAAAATTCAACACCTCAAATGAGGTAGCATTTGATCATTTGTTGATTACATGTCCATTCATTGGTTTGGGGCTATAAACATTCTTGTTAAGAGCTGTGGAGATCAGTGTTTGTTTACCATAAAGATTTTGCTTTTTTCTTTTTCTGAGTGGAGGCTGTAACTGGTATAGCCAGCATTTGGTTGGGCACACTCTCATCTCTCAAGGCCAGTGGGCTAGAGACTTGGCAGACTGTAAGGGTAGGGAAAAACTGCTTTCAACTTCCTGAGTTCTTGACTGTCCCGTGGATACACAAAGTTCAAAATAGCGAGACACTGAGGGACTGGAGAAGTGGGGAAGACTTGATTCCTATTTTTGCTCTGAAAATTCCAAGTTGAGAAGGGAACTAAGTGTGGATTTCTTATTATGGTCCTGCAGAACCCCCAAGACAACAACCAAAAAACTGCCTCCAGTGACCACCGGGACCTCTGAGAGTAGCTTGTTCCATCAGTCAACCTGGTACAGCTCCAGTAGCTCCTGCAGGAGCCTCTCCTCCTCCTGGAGCCCACCAGACTGTTCCTCCAGACCCTGCTCCTCCCAGCTGAGCCCCTCCTTCATGGATCCGGGGACGCCCATGGCTTGCAGCTTCTGAAACAAGCCCTTGCAGCTCTCTCTCTCTGCCTGGCTCAGCAGGCTCAGGTTCAGTGTGAAGCGCCCAGTGCTCGCCAGGCTGCGTAGGATCCCCAGCACCCCTGCCCGGTCAGCCGGCCCCACGTGATCAGCCAGTGCCACCAGGAGCTCCCCGAGAAGTCCAAACCCCACATCTGTCTGGAAGAGGCGGCCCAGCTTTGGACCCCCAAGCTGCAGTAGAGTCTGGTAGCGCTCTGGCCCACTTAGCAAGTGTCGTCGCCAATTACGGTAGAAGTCAGCAGAGGTCTCGGGCTGGAGGGGGGTTTTCTCCTGAATCACAAAGGAAGGAAAGGGAGTCAGGAGCTCTTCCAGCTGCTCTGCGACAGTGACAGTGAGGAGAACCTGTCGGTCTTCATCTTACTCTCTTCATCTTACTACTCTCTGAGCACTGGGAAGGCTGTGGTCCTTGGGGGCCTCATTTTCAGATGAGGAAGCTGGGGATGAGACAGGGAGGGCCCCCAAGGAATCCACGCCATGATTTGAGATTCTCATTTATACTGGACTTTTCCTATTCAAGAATGAAGACATAGCTCTGGCCTTCAAGAGTAAGTTGAGGTTAACTGTAAGTTGTGTGGATGGGTTGATTGGAAATCTCAGGAAGAGAGAAAGGAACTCAAGGATCTGAATGTCGGGGTCTCTCTCTCAACACTGCCATAGGATCATTACACTAGACACCATACAACCCAGAGGCAGAGCAACCCAAATCTGATCTGAGAATGAAAGTCAAAGGTCTAAGGGAAGTGGAGCTTCCTAGCCCAACTTTCTGACTCGTTCTGCCCAGTTCAACTCAGCTTCGCCATCTGCTGTTTGTTTTTCTTTCTGGGACTGGAGGCAGAAACCTATCTGTAGGTTTAACATGACAAATAAAGACAATGTATGTGTGGTTAAAACAAAACAAAACAAAACAAAACGAAAAAACAGGATTGAAGCTTTAGGGCAGAGAATCCCACTGGACTAAAGAGGCAGGGCCTCACCTACCGGGGAGATTTCAGTGGCCACATCCTGGAAGGTCCTTCCCTGAATAGTGTGACAGTTCCAGGGCACAGTTCTCTTTCCTCCCATCTTATCCTTCCGCTCCAGTGGCTTCAGATGTGATGCAAGGACAATACCCCTGTGGGCAAAGGACAGAAACTAAGCAATGGACTTAATGCTGTGTCTGTGGGCGTGAGGCAGCTAGACTTTGCATGGTATAGGATGAACCTGTTACAGACCAATACGGCCATAATAACAACAATAACCACAGCGATAGGTGACTGCTTTCAAGCACTTCACATGTATCAGACACTTGCTCAGTCTTATGTGCAAGAACTCATTTAATTATAACAGTTACTGTTTTATAGATAAATAATTGAGACTCAGAGAAGTTAAGGAAATTGCATAAGATCAAATAGTAGAGGGTGGGGCCCAGAATGGTTTGCTTTCAGGGTTTAACTACTATAGTCCACCATAACAGGAGGGCCTGAGAAAAATGGCAGTGAGCCAACCTGAACTCCTCATAGGAAGCCACCCTCTGTTCCACTGCCCGTAACTTGGCAGCATTCTCCCGTTTGTACTTCTCATCAGCAGTGAGTGCAGCCTGCAGCTCTTTCTCCAAAGCGTTGAAGTCGATAATGTCATTCCTTTCCATGGCCTGTGCCCGGGAAGGCAAAGGGAATACACGTCAGTGGACGGTCAATATCAGGGGAAAGAGGGTTATTGGATTATGCGCCAGAACACAAATGACCCCAAAGCACTCTGGACATTATGTCACTCACACTGGGAGGTGTTACAAAAATCTGGTTTTCTATTTTATACAGACAAGTTGAATTTCACAGTGAGGACTTACACAAGACTTGTCGCTGAAAATAGAATACAGAGTCCTGACTTTCAATTTGGAGTTGTGTCTTAATTTTGCTCTGTGCCTCTAAAAATACTTTTAATTTTGGTGCTTCAGTCGAGGAGGCATTTGGATCTCAGAATTCAGTTTCTTCACTCTTCCCCCATAGGATTGTTCTACAGCAAGTCGTTTCAACAGGGGACCTCACACAAAAGCAGAACTCTTGTTAGGTACCTTTGAGCTCAGGGATAAAGTTTCATTCTTCATTGAATGTCTTTAGTGAAGAAGGAGACTTTCACCCAAACCACACGCAATGACTGAGCAGGAAATCAAGCAGAAGGGGCAGAGGAAGGAGCTCAATGACCCGATCCCAAATCCCTCTGTCCAGCCCAGGGCTGGAACAGAGGTCCCTAGGTACCTGGGCAATGTCTTTAGTTCTACCACTGTACTTCTGTAGCTTCTGCGTATCTGAGGCTGACTGATTTCTACAGAGATATTCTTTTCTTTTTTTTAGACAGGGTCTTGCTCTGTTACCCAGGCTGGAGTGCAGTGGCATGATCTCGGCTCATTGCAACCTCTGCCTCCGGAGTTCAAGCAATTTTCGTGCCTCAGCCGCCCGAGGAGCTGGGACTACAGGCGTGCACCACCACGCCCGCCTAATTTTTGTATTTTTAGGAGAGACGGGGTTTCATCATGTTGGCCAGGCTGGTCTCGAACTCCCGACCTCAAGTGATCCGCGCGCCTCGGCCTCCCAAAGTGCTGGGATTACAGGCGTGAGCCACCTGCAGAGAGATTCTCTACGTGGGTTCTAGTCGTGGCTCTGGCATTTACTTGTTGTGGGACCTCTCTGAACTGCAAACTCCTAGTGAGTTGAGTTAGATTTTGTGGCGGGGTCATCACCAACAGCCCTAGCGCAAGGAAGCAGGAGGTCCCCAACCAATCCCACAGCCACCCTACCCCAACGTGGGGAATCTGAACGCCAAGAAGGGGCTGGGCTGGCCAGTAACCGAACTCAAGTGTCCAGTTCTCAGCCCTCCCCAGGCATTTACTAACCCTTCTGTCCCCTTACTCAGCCTCCTGGACCTTCACCCCAGCAGCCCCGTCCTTGGTCCCCTTGTTTTCTTTGGAGATCCCCTGATAAGTCAACATGAGAGCAGCCCCGCGCGGACCACTCCCGCAGCTGTGGTTGCCCAGCAACTGCGCTAACAGCCTGGCCACGTGATCTGCCGGAAGGCCCCCCCCCCCCCATTTCAGGGTAGTCCCGAGGCGCCTGATCAGATTCGTTCATCCTCAGGTCTCACCCTCTTTGGAGCAGCCCACGTCTTGGGCTACTCGTCTTGGGGACCGGCTACTCCGCCTTGCCAGTTCCTGTCTCCGCGAGGGCATACCTCGGAACTGGTCCTCAGGCGGAGGGTTGTCCTCCCGGGCAGAAAGGCGACAGCGGCGTCTGCGGGGTCCTTCCTGGCGGCGGGCGCAGACGTTTCTTTGGCGTGGGGCGGAAGCGCGTTCTCCGGCGGCGGCCTCAGAACTCTTAGCTGAGCAGGCGGGAGGTAAGTTGAAGCGGGTTAGCGGCAAGGAATGGTTGCTCCAGGTGGGATAGGAAATTAAAGAGCGTCAGATCTGGAAGAGGCCTTATATGCTATCTGCCCCTTTTGCTTTACGGATGGGTAAATTGAGGCCTGGAGCGGAAAAAATAATGGAAGATCCTCTCCTCCGCGTGCCTCCCCAAAGCTTTCGAAGCGCGCACGCACGCACACACCTCGATTTCGGGGCTGCCTCTATAGCCTCAGTCCGTAAAATCGTATCCCTAGGAAGGAGTGTTGCTCTAACTGTCCAGTCCCGTCGCTCATTCCCTTTTCCATCTGTGCCGCCTTCAGCCGTTCTCTGCCAAGTTCCCTCCGACGTTCCCTTTGAGCGCCTGCATTGTAGCGGGAAGCAGCAGTGAGGTTTGTTACCATGAGTCGCTAGTTTTGTGTAACTGTGGGCAAATCAGCTATATTCTCTGTACCATGTTAGAGTCACTCATTAGTTCGATAAATACTTATTGAGGGCTTAGTCTACGCTAGGCACTGTTCTAAGTAAACAAAACAAGCCCTTGCTTAAACTGTAGTTGGGGAAATGAACGGTAAACAACTAGATAGAAGTCAGCTAATGATAAATGTATAACATTTGTGAATAACAATAAAACAGTGAAAGTGGGAAGTTGGAGAGTATGTATGGGGGACTTTTTAGAGTGACAGAGAAGGTGACATTTTAGTGGAGACTTGATTGAAATAAAGGGACAAGGTGAAAATATCAAAGGGAAGAGCGTTTTGGACAAAGAGAATGGCAAGTGCAGTGGCCCTGAGGCAGAACTGAACTTGGCTTGTTCCATGAACAGCTTTATATAAAATTTTTTTCAATCGGCCGGGCGCGGTGGCTCACGCCTGTAATCCTAGCACTTTGGGAGGCAGACTCGGGCGGATCACCCGAGGTCAGGAGTTCGAGACCAGCCTGGCCAAAATGGTGAAACCCCCCCTCTACTAAAAATACAAAAAAATTAGCCGGGCGTAGTGGTGCACGCCTGTAGTCCCAGCTACTCGGGAGTCTGAGGCAGGAGAATCTCTTGAACCCAGGAGGCGGAGGTTGCAGTGAACCAAGATCGTCCCGTTGTACTCCAGCCTGGGCAACAAGAGCAAAACTCTGTCTCAAAAAATATATATAAAATAAATAGATAAATAATTTCTTCAAGCACTTGACTGGGGTCTTGGGAGAATGAGATAAGCATAAATGCGATAATAGCTTTTTGGAAGTAAAAAGAATCTGTATGCATGTGAAAGTTTCCATAATAATTTACATTTAGTTATTGGTCCTTGGAGCTCCGATTCTCTCTCTACATTCAGCACCCAGCAGATGGCATTGAGGGAGGTGGAGGTACCAGTCTAATCCAAGAAATATCAGCATCTTAAAATTAAACATCCCATTCAGTTAACATTTATCCAGTTTCTACTTATGCAAGGTGCTGTCTTGGCTGTTGACTGTGTTAGCATTGGTACTTTTTTCTCAACTATTTAAAAATGTAAAATGCAGCTGGGTGCGGTGGCTCACAGCTGTAATCTCAGCACTTTGGGAGGCCGAGGCGGGCGAATCACCTGAGGTCAGGAATTCGAAACTAGCCTGGCCAATGTGGTGAAACCCCATCTCTACTAAAAATACAAAAATTAGCCAACTGAGGTGGTGGGTGCCTGTAATCCCAGCTACTTGGGAGGTTGAGGCAGGAGAATCGCTTGAACCTGTGAGGTGGAGGTTGCAGTGAGTCAAGATGGTGCCACTGCACTCCAGCCTGGGCAACAGAATGGGACTCTGTCTCAAAAAAATAAAAAAGTAAAATGCATTCTTAGCTGGAGGACCATGCAAAAACAGGTGGAGGGGCCAGATTTGGCCACAGGTCAGAGTCTGTGAATTCTTGCCCTAAAGTATTAGGAGCTGAAGAGGCATTGTGTCAGCAGCTTACTGTCAAATATTTGGGGAAAAGAAAGTTATTTGTACTGTTCTTGCCACTTTTTGGTATTATTTTAAAATTAAATTTAGTATCATAAAAGAAGTGAAGGGAAGAAGCAGATGCATGGAACACAGGGTTCTCATGATCAAGGATGGCAAAAAATAATGCTAGCTGTTTATTGAGCCTGGAACTCTGGTAAATTCTTTACACAGGGTGTTTTTTGTAATCCTCATAAACATTTATTCAGTGAGGATTATTCATTCCATTTTCCAGTTGAGGAATAAGAATCAGGTTTGGAGAGATGAAGCAACTTACCTGAAGTTACATAGTTGTTAGTGGCAAAGTTAGAATTTGAATCTAAGTCTTCCAACTCCAGAGCCCTGATGCTCTAGTCTGTTATTTATTGCTTATAAACTATAGTTGGTGATGGTAATTAGTACAGTTAACTACTATTTGTTTATTTATTTATTTATTTATTTTGAGACAGAGTTTTGCTCCGTCGCCCAGGCTAAAGCGCAGTGGTGCAATCTCAGCTCACTGCAACCTCTGCCTCCTGGATTCAGGTGATTCTCCTGCCTCAGCCTCCTGAGTAGCTGGGACTACAGGTGCGTGCCACCACACCTGGCTAATTTTTTGTATTTTTAGTAGAGATGGGGTTTCACTGTGTTAGCCAGGATGGTGTCGATCTCCTGACCTCGTGATCTGCCCACCTTGCCCTCCCAAAGTGCTGGAATTACAGGTGTGAGCCACTGCACCCAGCCAGTTAACTACTATTTAAGACAAAATTAAACACTGATAAAGGTGCAAAAAGCTCTAGTAGGATAGGGGAATGAGAAATTGAGGAGCTAGGAAAGCTTGAAGGAGGTGGTGGCATTTGAACTGTTTCTTTGAATAGAATTTCAGTAATTGAAGTGGAAAAAACCCACAAAACACTACTTACTTACAAAGGGAAAATGAGTAACTTTACAATAGAGAGGCCTGGCAAACATCACCTTAATGAAGTGATCAAAGTTAACGTTACCACCAATGAGGCAAATTGAAATCATGTATCACCTGATAGGAAATGCTTTGAGAACCACAGTTCTTACATGTTCTCACAGCATCACTTCTATGATATTCCTGCCTAAAACACATAACCTGAATATTATCATAAGGTAACATCAGACAACCTCAAATCAAGGGACATCCTTAAGGATGTCACGACAGTCCTTGGAAGGAAAGACTGAAGATTGTAAATCCAAAGAGACTAAAGACATGACAACCAAATGCAAACATGATCCTGGATTGGATCCTTGGGCGTGTAAGATATTATTGGAACAATCTGTGAAACGTATTGGAACAATCTGTGAAACTTGAATGGGATCTGTAAATTAGGTGGTAGTAATGTGTGAATATTAATTTTCTGATTTTGATGGTTGTGTTGTGGTTATGTAGAAGAATGTTCCTGTTTGTAGGAATCACACAAGGTGAGGGAGAGGTTGGCAAACTTTTTCTGTTAAGGACTGGATAGTATTTTAGGCTTTGTGAGCCATATGGTTTCAGTCCCAACTACTCAACTCTGCTATTACAGTGTAAAGGCAACTGTAGATGATGTAAATGAATATGCATGGCTGTTTTCCAGTGAACCTTTTTTTTTTTTTTTTTTTTTTTTTTTGAGATGGAGTCTCGTTTTGTCTCCCAGGCTGGAGTGCAGTGGTGCCACCTCAGCTCACTGCAACGTCCACCCCCTGGGTTCAAGGGATTCTCCTACATCAGCCTCCTGAGTAGCTGGGATTACAGGCATATGCCACCATACCTAGCTAATTTTTGTATTTTTAGTAGAGACAGGGTTTTGCCATGTTGACCAGGCTGGTCTCGAACTCCTGACCTCAGGTGATCTGCCCGCCTTGGCCTCCCAAAGTGCTGGGATTACAGGTGTGAGCCACTGCGCCAGGCCTCCCAATGAAATTTTTTAAGTAGACACAGACATTTGAATTCCTTATAATTAATTTTCATGTATTGTGAAATATTTTTCTTTTGACAATTTAAAAATGTTGAAAAGCATTCTTAGCTAGAGGGCCATGCAGAAACAGCTGGAGAGGCCAGATTTGGCCACAGGCCAGAGTTTGCACACCCTTACACTAAAGTATTAGGAGGTGATGAGCCACTGTGTCAACAGCTCACTTTCAAATAATTTAGGAAAAAGTAAGTTGTTTGTACTATTCTTGCCACTTTTTGACATTGAGTTATTTTAAAATTAAATTTGGTATTAAAGAAGTGGAGGAAGGGGACCTCCTCTTTTGGCTTTGGAGCACCCCGCCCCATCTCTGTAGTGGGGAGCTTCTTCCTTCTGTCTTCTTTCCTTCTTGCCTATTAAACTCTGCTTGAAACAAACAAACAAAAAAAAAGTGGAGGGAAGACTACATAAATAGAGACAAGTAGGGCAGAGACTTGGGTAAAGTACTGGTCTTTGGGAGGAGCCTTCAGTAGATTGATGTCACTGGGAGGAGGCATGTTCTGAAAGGGGTATGGCCAACTATAAGACTAGGTAGGTGGGGCCACCACATGGAGGCCATGATTACTTTGCCAGAATCTAACTCCTTTCCTTGAATTTTAGCATCATGGACACCGACTTATATGATGAGTTTGGGAATTATATTGGACCAGAGCTTGATTCTGATGAAGATGACGATGAATTGGGTAGAGAGACCAAAGATCTTGATGAGGTAAAGCAAATATATTGCTCTTTTCATCTCGCTCTTACTTATTTTTATTTAAGACAAGGTCTCACTGTTGCCAGGCTTGAGTGCAGTGGTGCAATCTCAGCTCACTGCAACCTCCACCTCCTGGGCTTAAGTGATTCTCCCATCTTGGCCTCCCAAATAACTGGGACTACAGGCATGCATCACCATGCCCAGCTAATTTTT